CCATCACCATTTTTTTCCAATGCAAAAATCATTAACATCAGATTGAAAAAAAAAAAACTGGATTTTTGCTTGCAGGTGATTGGATGGTTGAAATGCTTCATCTTACTTGGCTAGGTAAACATACCCTTAGCACAATGAACAGTCTCTATATTTTTGGTAAATGGTCCCTACTGGGTTGACTGCAAGGTGAATGTTCATTGAGCTTAGTAAATACAGGAATTTTTATTTATTTCAGTTAACCAATCTTTATATCTGTGTGCTAGTGTTCATACATACTCTACAATACACAATATACTGTGTGGGCCAGTGAACATATACAGCATAAAGCATCTCCCTTGCCCCTTAGCACACCACAATATACAGATGTGATTGAGATCTGTGTTGCGGTGCACTGATTGCAAAGATTGCTGCTTCGTTTGTTCAGTGTGCTGATGCATGTTAAGGGTTCCTTAAAGTGAATGGGCTATCTTAAATCTATTAATCCAATGCTGTGTGGCAACATATGAATGTGTGCTGACGTGTATGTGTTAGCCAGTGGATAGGTGTGAATGGACCCTAATTGTTACAATACATGTTACAATCACAATCAACTTTAATTTTACCAAAACTGTAATATGAGGACCTTCCTGAACTATGGAACTAATCTGTACCCAATCAGCCAGGTCCTTGCACTGAATAGTTACATAGTTGGTAAGGTTGAATAAAGAAGAAGAGAGAGAGAGAGAGAGAGAGAGAGAGAGAGTGTGTGTGTCTGCTGTTGCTGACACCACCAACTGTAGAAGGGAGTCCACACCCTTACTGCTCTAACAGTAAATAATCCCTAATGCAGTTTAAGATAATTGTGTGGCCATGTCCATATGTCCTCTTTAGAGACCTAAGATTACATAGTTTCCTTCGAATTCTAGAGCCCCAATTTAAAGGTTTGTATTTTGCTATCGTATCCTTCTTAAGCATCTCTTCTCCAGGGAGAATAAGTTTAATATTTGTAGTTGTTCCTCATAAATGAGATCCTCCAACCCCCTTATTAACTTTGTTGACCTTCTCTTGACTCTGTCCAGTACAAGGTCATCCTTTCTCAGGATTGGTGATCAGAACTGAATGGCATACTCAAGATGTGGCAGAACCAGATTTTTGTAAAGTGGTAGATTTATACTCACCGGCCACTTTTTTAGGTACACCTGGTCAATTGCTTGGTAACACAAAATACTAATCAGCAATCACATGGCAGCAACTCAATGCATTTAGGCATGTAGACGACTTGCTGAAGTTAAAACCGAGCATCAGAATGGGGAAGAAAGGGGATTTAAGTGACTTTGAACGTGGCATGGTTGTTGGTGCCAGACAGGTTGGTCTGAGGTTTTCAAAAATTGCTGATCTACTGGGATTTTCACTCAAAACCATCTCTAGGGTTTACAGAGAATGGTCCGAAAAAGAGAAAATATTCAATTAACGGCAGTTGTGTAGATGAAAATATCTTGTTGATGTCAGAGGTCAGAGGAGAATGGGCAGGCTGGTTGCTGTGACATTCATATAGTAGAGCATGAAAGCATGGATCCATCCTGCCTTCTTTCCATGGTTCAGGCTGGTGGTGTAATGGTGTGGGGGGAGATTTTCTTGGCACTAGCAAGGGTACCTAATAAAGTGACCGCTGAATGTATAATCTCTTGAGTAAATACCCTTTTCAATGCATGCTAATAGTCTGCTAGCCTTGCTTGCTGTAGCTTGGCATGCTGATGCTCAGTCTGTTAACTACTAGGACCCCCAGGTCCTTATCCATCTACAATTACCCCTAGTGAGCAACGTGCAGTCGTATTTTTAGCTCCTATGTGCATTACTTTACATTTTCCTCCATTGAACCTCCTCTGCCATCTACATGCCCACCCCTCTATTATAACTAAGTCTTCTTCTAAAATTGCTATGAGGGGTGTTCAAGTCAAACTGGAACTTTTGAGTTTATATAATAAAAGAACAAATTTCAAGGAGTGGAAATTTCATTTATTTTTCAACACTCTCTCCTGCTACATTTATACACTTATCCCAGGGTTTACCTAATGCATGGAAAGTTTTGACGATGAAAGATTTACCAGTACGCCTGAACCATCCTAGAACAACCTGCTTCACTTTGTCATCAGTGCTAGAATGCTAGTATAAAATAGTGCAGCGCTAAAAAGTGTATGGGTATGATAACAATGATAAAATGATATAAAGGCATAATAATCAGCACATTGTAAAGATAATGACATAAGAAACAAAGTGATATAGCATCAACAATCACCGCTCTGTGCACTGACCAGCTGGTAAGATATGGGGGGCCTCCGTGATTCGGCAGTATAGCGTCAAAGGCGTGCAGGCTCCTCCAAGACGCGTTTCTATTTCAGGTACTTATATAGCGCATCCATTTACGCAGCGCTTTACATATATTTTGTACATTCACATCAGTCCCTAACCCTCAAGGGGTGTAAAATCTAAGGTCCCTAACTCACATTCATACATACACATACTAGGGCCAATTTAGACAGGATCCAATTCACCTACCAGCATGTCTTTGGAGTGTGGGAGGAAACTGGAGTACCTGGAGGAAACCCACGCAGGCACAGGGAGAACACGCAAACTCCAGGCAGGTGGTGCCGTGGTTGGGATTCGAACCAACGACCCTAGTACTGCCAGGCAGAAGTGCTAACCATTTACCCACTGTGCTGCCCCTACTTGGGATTCGTACGAATGTACTTCCTCAGTTGGGGTATGGCATAATGACGTTCTTATGTCATTATCTTTACATTGTGCTGCTCTGGAAGGACATTGTCTATCACTTTGATTTTATACATCCTTTATGATTATTAATAAAATCCATTTTTAAAATACTACACTCACTGCATTTCCCTTTTGGCTCTTTGGTGAGCTTTTTAACCCCACAGAGCTCCCCTTGGTGACCATCCCTGGTTTATGAAGAGGCTGAATGCACGTCCTTTAAGTGGACCCCCAGATATAAGGACACCCTGACGTTATCCATCACTCCTAAGCTGCACCATCTTAAGAGGGATACCGGGCAGAGCTCCACCTGATTAAATATATTGCGCATTCCCTTTGTGCTTCCGGTGAGTGCGCATTTTATCTATTTGTTGCCACCCACCACCCTGTCTGATGACTGATATACCACCGGGATTAATCGTGTCACCTTGGGGTCCATTCATGATTTTTTACTTCTAAATCGCATTTGAATTTATGGACTTTTTCCCTAATATTTCATGATTAAGAGCTATTTTATGATGGTCAGTTATGGTTTACATTTATCCCTTGCATTTTATTATTATTATTCTTTATATTATTTTATCATTGTTATCACACCCATACACTTTTTAGCGCTGCACTATTTTATACTAGTTATTACTGAAGGTTTTTTTGGTCTCCTTTCTGGTGCATAGCTGCTCTCCTTGTTAGTCAAGCGCTCGCTTATATACCTTCTTCTATGGTGCTAGAATGCTGACCTCTGAGGATTTGTCTTTTGTGCAATTTCACGACAGGTTATGCATCAATTATCCAGGATAAGCCGTTCCATGTGCTGAATGTTCACAGGAATGACTGCTGTGGTCTGGAAACCAACACGGCCAGGATCAGACGTATGGCCATCTTTGAAAACTGTGGCTGAGTGTCTCATCACCGCACTGTGCCTAAAGTCTCCTATAGGTATCCATGGGTTTTATGCCTTTATTCACAAGAAACTTCATCACCACACGCTGTTCCATGCACATGCTAACACTGTTGTCTGCCATCTGGAATAACGTCTTCTAGACTGGCCCATGACATGTGTGCAGCCTATCAATATATTATATTATACTTGACTGCATGTGTACCTCATCCCTATTATACAATACAAAAAGAAACAAAACCTGATGGGACTTTACTGGTACATAATGCGGACAACCAGGTTGTACATAAAACATGTTTATTGAAATATATCTTCCAAACAAATTGTATAAAAACAGTACTTGGCTAATGAGCCCAAAAGATCACAGCATAATGTTCTGTGGCATCAATATCCTCCAGAGGTCGCTTATAAGATTCTTCAGGACCCCAAAACTGGAGGCAAAGAAATCAGATGCCCTAACTGGTAGATGTATATACATATAGATCATTAGTTATACAAATACAATGTTATATTGTCAATGTCATTGGCGCATGCGTTCTGGATGGCACAGCATGCGCAGAAGTGATGTCATTGCGAGCTCCAGCAGTATGAATGGCCCAGAAGGAAGATGGGTGAAGATGGCGGCACTGGGGAGCTGTGACAGCGTGGCTTTGTGTACGGGTAAATCTGTCATAATGTACAACGTGGTGCACAGCAATACATTATGACCTAAAGCTGCAGGGGGCCATTATTATTATTTTTTTGGGGGGGCGGTTTACTACCACTTTAGCTGAAAAAAAAAGTACCTTTTCCTACTTTCATCCTCCTCCAGATCCCTCTTTTTTTTGCTGCTGTGACCTGACTTCCTGTTACAGGGTGGCTACGTTCATTCTCCATAGATCTACCACATGTAGAAAGGTAGTCACCCTCTCTTGTGCACTGCTGACATGGACTATGGGATATATTGTGTGCATAGGGCAGCGTACATGACTGCAACTAACCAAGCTCACAGAGAATGTTACAAGGAGGTAGACAAACACAGCAAGAAATCATTTCCCCACAACTAGATGACAGGACCAGGAAGTCGTACAAATGTATTATATTTTACATCTATCAGTGTCACCTTCATACACGAGGACATATTTAGTTACAAATAAATCCTTACACGGGACGGGTCAGCCGTCACCACACAACAGTAGCCACAGCTCATGTGACTCTCTGATAGCACATGGCAGGAGCCGCACCACGTGTCCCAATAGCTGCCCCTCCCCTTCTCCCGGCTTGGATTGGGTGACGTGTTTTGCCTGCGTTCTCCTGAGTTGGGTGTCGCAGGCTGCTGACGTCCGCCCCGGTCACCTCTAGTCAGACTGGCAGAATGTACCGAGCCCTGAGTACCGGCACACAGCGGGGGGTGAGGGGCCGGCTTATACCGAGGGTGAGGGGTGCTATATGTAGAATGCAGGGTGGAGGGTTAGAAGTGAAATGAGGGCATTGTTATGGAGGGTGGCTGTGTCCATAGAAGTGCATGGCTTCTGTCATAGGAGACGTCAGCTGTGTGCCTTGTATTGCAGCTGCTGATATGATGACTCCTCATGCTGTCTGTTTTCTTGTTCTGTATAGTTTATTGAATGTTACAATATAAATGTAAACCATGATGTGTACATATGACGTCATTCTCTCTGTTTTCAGTGCTCTGCCCTGCGCAGGTTGCTCAGCACTTTGGTGGTGGCAGAACATGACACGCAGCAGCTCACCCCCATCACCCTCAACGCAATATCTGCTGCCAGGAGACTCGGAGGGGAAGTGTCCTGTCTGGTGGCTGGAACCGACTGCAGCAAGGTGATCGTCCTCCACTGACACTGGACGCATGTCTGCATGGCTCTCCTTATATGTGTCTGCTTGTCAATTAGCACACCATGGATCATCGAGTAATGTCTGAATCTTTATTGAAGAACAGTCACATGACCGAGAACATTTGTTACATGCCTGATGAAGGGGCCCTGCATGGCTCTGAAGTGTTGCACTATGTCCTCCGTGATATGATCAAAGATTTGGACATTACTGTGTTGTTATGGTTTTGGGGTTGTATTTGATATGTGCAAAGAGAGATCACACAAATACTTATAAGTAAAACATTTATTACAAGTAATGGCAGATGCAGAAAAAGAAAATCTAACAAGAATGCTTAACTAAAGATGCTGTTTCCGCCATGGGTCCCTCCATTATATGGCGTGGCTGATGATCAGAACAGACAGATGCTTAACGCAAGCTCTGGGTCGAGACAAATATTTCCAGTCTAGCTGTGTGTTATATACTGGACTTGTGTGCAAGCAATGGACTACCCACCCCCCATGCAAACAAAAAGGAGAGCAGTGGTCTGCCTTGTCCAAATAGTCACATTCCTTTGTTATTTAAGGTAATCAGACCTTGTCCTCATATAGCCCTTTAATCAAGGCTTGGAGGCCAACATTAATAAGGAAGTATGTAATATACAATTTCCCCATCAATTACTCAATGATCCATGGTGTGCTGTTGAATATGTGCATTTGATCTGTGATGTCTCAAGTTCCAGATGGTGGTTGTTTCAGCACCCGTTATTCCTAAGCCTCATCCAGGAAAGTAACTAAAAATTCTTCCTGCGCCTAGTAAAACACTCTAATACAGGTTCTATCCTGCTGCTGTGCACTGTGATCAACACAAACAATGAAAAAAGGAAAAAACAGCGCAAACATAGACCTTTACATGAAATCAATATTACAAAGTGCAAACATAAGTGAAAAATTGATCAGTGGTAAAGTCCATCAAAATAAACCAAAGTTCAAAAAATATTAGTGCAAAAAAAAAAAAAAAAAAAAAAATATTTTCAAATTCTTCTTCTAATATAGAGGAACTTCCACCTTCCACCCGTGAAAACCAATATCAAATGCACTCACCAGATAAAGGTGAAAAAAACGCCTCTTAGGAATTTTATGGGATCCTACACCCTCTTTCGTATCCACTCTATAGGAATCCTCCTCCTCTCCACCATAGGCTCCACCATCCGACCAGGGAGAAAAAAATCTCAGATAGTGTAATATTGTAAGACACCATTCATAAGTGAAATCAAGGATTAAGGTCACTCACATTCAATTAAATTATAAAAGGCATATTTATTAGGATCAGCTTCTTCCAGATAAACAGTAGATGCAAGGCAACCTCCCACGGAATCTCACATCACAGCTCCAGGTTTCAGCAGAAGCTCTACAGAGACACCGCATATACAGATCCCAAAAGATGGCCGCTGGAACGCACCGCTCAGCGTGCGCTCCACTCACCGGAAGTGACGTCAGACGTACGGAGTACAAACCGGAAATGCGTCAACGCGTTTCGCCCCTCCCATCGGGCGTTCTCAAGACGTTCATTTCCTGTCTGAAGCTCCCTTATATACCCAGCAGAGACCCACCCCTCCGTTTCAATTGGTCAAAACTCTTCCCCGGGATGATCAAACAAACCACTCCTCCTGTAACGTGACGTGAGAGTCCCTTACAGATGAGGTAAATGCCTATACAATTAGAAATCTTTTTTAATGTTATTCCTGACACTATTAAATTATCTCCCAGAAGCGACATGTATATTACCACATGTCCCCAGTGGGAAAAACACGAACAAAGTATTAAACAATGCCTCACTATTACAAAAAACTTTCTTTAATATATGAGCAATGAATACTAAATAGTATAAAAATGAAAATAAATATAAATCAAAAATATAAAATGAAAATAAAAATGAAAATAAAAATAAAAATGAAATAAAATAAAAATAAAAATAAATAAAAAATAATAAAAATAAAATGAAAACAAATATAAATAAAAATAAAAATAAAGAATAAAAATAAAAATAAATATAAAAAAAAATAAAATAAAAAAATAAAAAATAAAAAGAAAAATAAAAAAAAATAAATGAAATAAAAATAAAAATAAAACTCAAAATAATATGTGAAATAAAATAAAATAAAATAAAAAATATAAAAAAATAATATAATAAAAATATTATCAAAATATAAATAAAATTAAAAATAAAAATAAACCAATAACAAAAATAATAATAAAAAAATTTAAAAAATGCAATAGCATTACAATGTATAAAAAAACTATTAATAAGACACCTGAGGAATTTTTAATGGAGATAGTCTATGCTCTTACCAATTAGACAAAAAACAATTAATGTCTATGTCCGAATTCAACCCTTTGGGGTACAAAGATCCTAATTGAAAGATCCATTTTGTTTCATTCTGCGAGATACTCTTGACCATATCTCCCCCCCTCCAATGGGAAACGATCCGATCAATCCCGCAGAATTTCAAACACGATGGATCCCTATTATGACACATTCTGAAATGATAGGAAAGACTGTGATGTTTATATCCTTTTTTAATATTTCTAATGTGTTCACCTAATCTCACCGACAATTTCCTAGACGTTCTACCTACGTATTGGAGATGACAAAGTGCTCAAAGTGTTGGAGTGCTCTTGTCATCTCCAATACGTAGGTAGAACGTCTAGGAAATTGTCGGTGAGATTAGGTGAACACATTAGAAATATTAAAAAAGGATATAAACATCACAGTCTTTCCTATCATTTCAGAATGTGTCATAATAGGGATCCATCGTGTTTGAAATTCTGCGGGATTGATCGGATCGTTTCCCATTGGAGGGGGGGAGATATGGTCAAGAGTATCTCGCAGAATGAAACAAAATGGATCTTTCAATTAGGATCTTTGTACCCCAAAGGGTTGAATTCGGACATAGACATTAATTGTTTTTTGTCTAATTGGTAAGAGCATAGACTATCTCCATTAAAAATTCCTCAGGTGTCTTATTAATAGTTTTTTTATACATTGTAATGCTATTGCATTTTTTAAATTTTATTATTATTTTTGTTATTGGTTTATTTTTATTTTTATTTTTAATTTTATTTATATTTTTATTTATATTTTGATAATATTTTATTATATTATTTTTTTATATTTTTTATTTTATTTTATTTTATTTCACATATTATTTTGAGTTTTATTTTTATTTTTATTTCATTTATTTTTTTTTTTTCTTTTTATTTTTTATTTTTATATTTATTTTTATATTTATTTTATTTTTATTTTTATTCTTTATTTTTATTTTTATTTATATTTGTTTTCATTTTATTTTTATTATTTTTTATTTATTTTTATTTTTATTTTATTTCATTTTTATTTTTATTTTTTATTTTCATTTTTATTTTCATTTTATATTTTTGATTTATATTTATTTTCATTTTTATACTATTTAGTATTCATTGCTCATATATTAAAGAAAGTTTTTTGTAATAGTGAGGCATTGTTTAATACTTTGTTCGTGTTTTTCCCACTGGGGACATGTGGTAATATACATGTCGCTTCTGGGAGATAATTTAATAGTGTCAGGAATAACATTAAAAAAGATTTCTAATTGTATAGGCATTTACCTCATCTGTAAGGGACTCTCACGTCACGTTACAGGAGGAGTGGTTTGTTTGATCATCCCGGGGAAGAGTTTTGACCAATTGAAACGGAGGGGTGGGTCTCTGCTGGGTATATAAGGGAGCTTCAGACAGGAAATGAACGTCTTGAGAACGCCCGATGGGAGGGGCGAAACGCGTTGACGCATTTCCGGTTTGTACTCCGTACGTCTGACGTCACTTCCGGTGAGTGGAGCGCACGCTGAGCGGTGCGTTCCAGCGGCCATCTTTTGGGATCTGTATATGCGGTGTCTCTGTAGAGCTTCTGCTGAAACCTGGAGCTGTGATGTGAGATTCCGTGGGAGGTTGCCTTGCATCTACTGTTTATCTGGAAGAAGCTGATCCTAATAAATATGCCTTTTATAATTTAATTGAATGTGAGTGACCTTAATCCTTGATTTCACTTATGAATGGTGTCTTACAATATTACACTATCTGAGATTTTTTTCTCCCTGGTCGGATGGTGGAGCCTATGGTGGAGAGGAGGATTCCTATAGAGTGGATACGAAAGAGGGTGTAGGATCCCATAAAATTCCTAAGAGGCGTTTTTTTCACCTTTATCTGGTGAGTGCATTTGATATTGGTTTTCACGGGTGGAAGGTGGAAGTTCCTCTATATTAGAAGAAGAATTTGAAAATATTTTTTTCTTTTTTTCTTTTTTGCACTAATATTTTTTGAACTTTGGTTTATTTTGATGGACTTTACCACTGATCAATTTTTCACTTATGTTTGCACTTTGTAATATTGATTTCATGTAAAGGTCTATGTTTGCGCTGTTTTTTCCTTTTTTTCATCCAGGAAAGTGTGTGTAATGGGAATATAGATATTTACATGTCAATTAGATCCCTCCAAGCTGCATCTTAGTATCTGCATCATACTGTAGTGGTGAAAGAGACCCTGTCACCAACCTAAAGCAGAACTTCACCCAGAGGTTCCATTTTCTACCTCCTCCCTCCATCCCTTTCCACTTTAGGAAACTTTTTTTCTTTTTTAGTTTGGGGTAGAGGCAGTTACCTGGTTTTTACAGGTATCCACTCCCACGTCCACCTGGATTGCCTAGGTGATCCAAACAGAGGTTCACCCCCCCCCCCCCTTTGACCACAGCCTTCTGGGACACGTCACAGGTCTCAGAACGCTGCAGTACCATTCACAAAGTGTGGCTCACTCGTGCAGTGGGAACCCGGCTGTGAAACTACAAGGCTTCACAGCCAGTTTCCCTTGGTAAACATGCTAGTACCAGGGACCTGGAGAGCGGTAAAACACAGGCCTGGGTGAGGATGATGCTGGATCCCTGGATAGGCAAGCATCATTTTCTGAGATGTGCTGCTGTGTCCTCCTTTCACAGAAACCTTCCGTCTCCAATCCCCCCGTTTTTTTCCAATATGACGGGGGGTGGTTATAAGAAATAAAGGACTGACAAGTTGCATCAAGAGCGCTTAACTATGTGTACCCTTTTCACCCAGATCCTCCATTCATAGAAGCCATACATCTTCTATAAATAACACATGATTGGAGGGGGTGGATCTATCAAACTTCCAGACATCCTTCATTCATAGATTCTGTTTTATTCATTGAAGCTGTAGTACGACTTCATTGAATGGAGGAGATGGGCGGAAAGGGTGGGCATAGTTGAACACTCTGAATGAAAGCCTGTCACAACCCCTTATTTCTTTAAACCCCCCCCCCCCCCCATACACGCACGCACACACACACCGGGAGTGGAGGGGGCATGGGAAGAGGAAGATTTCTGCTAAACGAGGACACGGAAGCACAAGGGACACATCCCACTAAAAGTAAGTAATATCACCCAAACCGTACTCTCTGCTCCTCGCACGACCTCCTGCTCTCTAGCTCCCTTGTCTCTTCCTCCCATGCTAGTCTTCAGGACTTCTCCAGAGCTTCCCCCATCCTCTGGAACTCTCTACCCCCAATTTATCAGACTATCGCTTACTCTGCTCACTTTTAGGTGATCTCTGAAAACCTATCTCTTCAGGGAAGCCTATCCTGCCCTCAGCTAATAATGGAATATTCTATTCCTCCTACCAGTCTATCCCCCAGTTATTACCTTTTGTACCACTAGCCCCTCCCTCTTAGATTGTAAGCTCCAAGAAGCAGGGCCCTCCTAGCCCTCTTGTATTGAACTGTATTGTTGCTGTATTGTCTCCCTTTATATTGTAAAGCGCTGAGCAAACTGTTGGCGCTATATAAATCCTGTATTATAATAATAATGCCCCTCTCACCCTCTTCGTCATAGCTGTTGTTAGATCGGCTGTGGCAGGAGGGGAGAGGGCAGGTCAGACTTTATAACTAAGGTTAGGAAGCAGTTAGAACCTGCATATACTTTGTCCCATAAAGTACAGAACTGTAATATAAAAATTATAATGGTAGAGCTTTTTACTTGCAGTGCTCCTTTTGAATGGCTATTTTTTTATTGACTTTGTTGCTTCTCTGAACTTGCTGGGCAATTACCACTCCTGAATGTGTCAAATCTCTAGCACAACCACCCTTCCTCCTTTGTGCTTGCACATCATAGTTCTTTCCTCTTCTGAAAGTGTCTACTGTCTGAGCTGATCCAACTCCCTTTCCCCACCTTACATAACCTTTCATGTAGCTGCTGGGGGAGATGTTAAGGGTAATTCTATAGAGTGCTACTTGACAACTCTGAGTCTTTGGGTCTGCTGACATCCTGTCTGATGTTGTGGCACCCAGCAGCAGTCTTGTGGTCCATTCACACTAGCCACTAAGTTATAATGCAGTGGCTGGTATACAGTTTTGGCATATTGCACTGTTACTTTTTTCAGTGCACTTCCCTTGCACACCACTGCACTGCATTGGTTTAAACCAGGCACACAGGAGACTAGGCATTTTGCCTTGTCATGTGGTAGGACTGTGCTGGTGTTGATGAACCCTTAAGGGGTGCTTTTACAGGTAAATGACATGCATACAATATGTTAAATGCACATATAATTTCATGAGAAGATAAATGTTAAAATAAACGGTTGACAGGGTCTCCTAAAGCAGAACAAAAGTCCATGATACTTTACGTCTCCTTCAATGGTCCAATGTTTCTCACTGGTACCAGCATCTTTTATCCAGCTTCTTCTGGGTGCTGGAGTGGGATGATTTCACTCCTGCGCATGTGCGTGAGTTCAGTCATCCCAGCACACATGACCTATGCTGGAATAAAAAATGAGCTGCAACTGTGCAGCTTGGTGTACATTCCAAAGAAGACTGTGAGCAGTCAGGTAGGTTTATTTTATTTATAAATAAACTTACACCAATCCAGGTATTTGTGCTCCTATCTCAGTATCATTCACTGCTCTGCCACTTCGCCAGGGTGTTAGTTTGGCTCATCAACACCACACACTGAAGATAAGAAACTGCTCAAGATGGCTGCGGTCCTTATAGGCTTTATGTCAAAATCCAAACACAGAAATCATCAAACAGCAGTGGAGGAAGGAAGAACATTGATGCATTTTGCTTCAGGATAACTATGTTGTATTATGACTAAGCATTTGGAAATAGCAAAGTGCGAAATGCATCAATGTTCTTCCTTTCCCCACTGGTGTTTGATGATTTCTGTGTTTGGATTTTGACAGTAAAGCCCATAAGGAGTACAGGTAACCGGAATAGTTATTAATCTTCAGGATTATTTTATTATAGAAGAGACATTTCTTCAAGCTCTTATTGCTTGCACTGCAAAAAAAATTACTTAGATACTCCCCTCTCCGACTAAATACTCTGCTTGGTAGCTAAGCGCTTGTATTCGTTGACAGCTTTATTTAAAGTTTTACAGACAGAGCTGTTATAAAGAATTCTGAACTGAGAGAAAATGGATGTTGCTGTGACATCTTCCATTGGAAACTGCTATTATAATTTAGTTTTGAAAATGCTAATTACCTGAGTGACTCAGAAGCAGGTAGTATTCAAATCCATAATAAAGTTATTGTTTCTGATCTCCATACTTCACTTATTACCTTAGAATAAAGACTCAGAAAGTACTGAAGATAACACATTCATTTCACAAATTTAACACACCAGGATTAGAACTCTTCTTTTTTTGTGTATAAATGAGAGTGACATTTATTGTTTTATGTGTTCAGTGAGAATGAAATGACAATTACTTGGCTAGATAGAGATCTTATCTTTGTTAACGCCTTGTGAACTGAGCCTATTGGATCAACCTGTCAGCAGGGGAATTGACACTTTCACAAAAAGGGATTAGAAATGACATCAATCATGTTTTTTTTTCAGCTCTCCTGGGAATTGTGCATTTACCTGTACCCTGAAGAGTTTATATGGTACCATCCAACCACACATCCCTGTGGCTTCTTACTTGGCTGCTGCTGTAGGGAATCTGCATGTGGAGTTTAAGATCCTGATGAAGTCTAGAGTGATATCTTCTTTAACTTTATTTTATTACATTTCTAGGTAGCAGAGCAGTTATCAAAGGTTGAAGGAGTTTCCAAGCTGTTTGTAGCTCAACATGAAGCATATAAAGGTTTCCTACCAGGTGAGAATTATATTTTTGAAGGAGTGCTAATGTCACAAAATGACTGCTATATCTCTGTGCCCTTTTTATATTTCTCACTTTTTAGTCTGCATATTCTCAAGCATTAAAAGAGAAGTATGGGTTTCTATCCCCCCCCCCCGAATTAGACTTACCTAGGTAGATGCAGCATCAGTCCAATGATGCACCTGTCCCCCACCAGATCTAAGTGTGAACTCAACGATCACATGATCGCTGTGTTCCCACATCCACTCTGAGCAGAGAGCGGTGACTGTCAGTCACCGCTATCTGCTCTGCTTCCCCATTCCCCCCCACTCGCTAGAGCACTGAGGTGTGGAGGGAGCAGCTGGCTCATGCTCTCCAGTGGCTTGCTGAGAGGATGAGCCAGGTGACACTCCAGACTCTGGGATGGATCTCGACTTTAAAGTCGGGATCTTTCCCCAGCCTGGACCAACTGAGTGAACTCCACTCCTATGATCCACAGGAGAAGTACAGCCAAAAGGGCTGACTAAAATATACTATAAATTCCAGCTTCCCCATGCAGTACTATGTAAAGTTGTGAAAGAATGCTTTCACAAATGAAAGTTCATAGTTTATTTTTTATCAGTTAACAAAATGGAAAGTAAAAACAGAAGAGGAATCAAAATGAAATCAGAATTTGGTATGACCATCCTTTGCCTTCAAAACTGCATCAATTCTTCTAAAGTAGGTACACTTGCACACAGTTTTTGAAGGAGCTCAGCAGGTAGGTGGTTCTAAACATCCTGAAGAACTAACCACAGATCTTCTGTGAATGTAGGCTGCCTCAGATCTTTCTGTCTCTTCATGTAATGCCAGACAGCCTTGATGATGTTGAGATCAGGGCTCTGTTGGGGCAAAACCCATCACTTCCAGGACTTCTTGTTATTCTTTACAATGAAGATAGTTTTTAATGACATTTTCTGTTTGTGTGGGAATACATTTTGTGGCCACTGACACTCCTCCCTGATGGTATGACATGAAGGATAAGTATCTGCCTGTATTTTTCAGCATTGAGGATACCATTGATCCTGAACAAATCTACAGTTCCATTTGCAGAAATACAGCCCCAAACTTGCAAGAAACCTCCACCATGCTTCAATGCTGCCTGCAGACACTCATTGTTGTACTGCTCTCCAGCCATTCTGTGAACAAACTGCCTTTAGTTACAGTCAGATATTTTATATTTTGATTCATCAGTCCAAAGCCCCCGTTGCCATTTTTGTGCATCCCAGTTCCTATGTTTCCATGCATAGTTCAGTCGCTTAGCCTTGTTTCTATGTCCTACACTCACCTGCACAGTAAAAAAACATGCAAACCACTTCAAAATGCCTCATAAGCTACTCTGCCATGTTTGTCGCTTGTGGGGCAACCCATTCACATCAGTGGGCTGCCCTATGTGTGTCACAGGAAAAAACAACCAAAAACCTTGTGCTCTCACTATGCTATGTGTGAATGGGGCTTATAAGTGAAATTCATGTGTTTACAGAAAAATTACAGCTGAGTGTCTCTGTCCAGTCCCTTTAATGTATTTTTTTTATAAAGCTGGCTATGCACTATGCGATCTGATTGTACAATTTCCTTTTATATACCAAAATTATGGAATAGGAGGACACACCTGAGCAATCCATTAAAGTTGTATCAAATCAGTCAGGTCCTTGCACTACATAGTTGATGGTAGATCTAAAGGAGATTGTACAGTCAGATTGTACAGTGTATGGTCACCTTTAAGGAAGAAGTAGGAATGTGGGTGAAAATAAAGAGTTGGTACAGTGATGAGAGAGGCATTGTCAAGAGGGGTAAACACAGCCTATTCTGTGATGCAATAAGATGGTGCATGATGGGATATGAAGTTTCCTGGATGGTCAGGGCTCAGAATACATTCTTTTTAAATTTTAAACCGAGAGGTGCAGATTGAAGGCTGCCATGGACTAAGTAAGTGAGAGATAAGCACATTGGGTTGGCTTGGGCAAAAAAGACATTAGAAAAGGCTTCTTTTTATTATGAAAAGTGAAATTCTGCCTGGAAAGGTGAACTTAGCCTTTATGTCATTGACATACATTAAATATTACCAGTAAAAGAGAAAAAGAGAAACAATACATGGTGCAAAAGCTGCTATGCAGTAATAAAATATGCCTTTGCTGCAGCTGTGAACTGCTTTTGTCTATTTAGTCCATACAACTTTCAACACTGTTCATGAGGCTCTCAGACTTTGGTGCAATATTTTTTTTCCTCTGTGTACCATTAAGGAGATTTCACTTCCTGACCTGTTGAGATTTAGCGTTATTCCTGTTTAGTTGTTGCCAGGATAGGAAATGAAGGGGGATCTCTGTAATGGACCTGTGGATAGCAGTAAAACCTCAACAGGTACAGGGGTTCTAACCCTTCCCCTTCTCTATCCGAAACTAAGAGAAAAAAGGTTTTGGTTGGACACATACTTTAAAGATGTACCTCTGTCTAAACCCTACACGGAGTGCTTCTACTGTAAGCGGCTCTGACTGGGCAGGAGTAGTGTTGGAAGATTTCTATAGTATCCTAAACACAAAGAAATCTTGATTTGTTCTACTTGCACTGTCAGTTGGAAGGTGGACATGTTGCTGAATTTTTATAGAGCTCAATTGATGCTGGAGAGGCATGGTCCAGGTAAATATAGTCTTAAAGGACAAGTATAGTTGTTTTCAGATATTAAATGTAGAGATTTGTTTAGTGACTAGAGGAAGAGCACACCAGGCTTGCAATTGCTCAGCCTCCTTTATCCCTATAGTGTTTAACTTTGTTATGCCTCTCCATTTTCTGGATTTTCAGTGTGGTCTTTCGGAGTGTGAACTGTTGCATGTTTGCAGGTCTGTAAGCTTTTAGTCATTTACATATTTATTTGTTGTGCTTGATCAATAATATATATAAATTGTCTCCTGAACTTTTTCTTGGCATACTTCTGTATGATCCATTATTAAAACAAAGTCTTTCTTATTAGAGGAGCTGGCTCCCTTGATTCTGGAAGCACAGAAACAGTTTAAATTTACCCACATATGTGCTGGAGCATCAGCCTTTGGAAAGGTGAGTGAACTTCTGTCATGGCTGGACATAGAGGTTGTTTTGAAATGATTTCATCAAGGCTAAAATGTTCATGTATGTATTGGTCTGTTCACCCAGTGTAGACTTGAATTTTAGCTTAAAATGGTTCAAAAGCCTGAAGGTTTTTACTTTTAATGTATTCTTTGCATTAAGGTAAAAATCCTTCTGTGTGCTGTGTGCTGCTCCCTCCCCCCCTTAAATTTACCTGAACCCAATCTAGATCTAGCAACGTGCACGAGTGCAGAGGCTCCACTCTCTCTCCTCATTAGCTCAGAGACATTGGCTCCTGCTGTTGTCAATCACAGCCTGTGAGGAGGGAACAGGGGCGGGGCTGAGCTGGGCCTGAGCAGGCAAAAGTGGCTTGCTATGGGGGCTCTCAGTGGGGAAGGGGGGGGAGGAGAGGACAGTGCTGGTGGGGGGACCCAGAAGAGGAGAATTAGACCTGCCCTGTGCAAAACCATTCATTGCACACTGCAGGTAAGTATGACACGTTGTTTTGAGAAAAAAAAATGAGCCTTTAAAACCAATTTAATGTATCCAGAACAGTAATCATTTGTGAAAAAGATTTTTTGAATGCACATAACATTATCTATATGCTAATCTGTTTTGACGGTTTGTTTCCTTTTACAGAATTTACTGCCAAGAGTAGCAGCAAAGCTTGACGTAGCACCAGTATCTGATGTTATTGACATCAAGTCTCCAGATACATTTGTGAGGACAATTTATGCCGGTGAGCAGACCTGTACAATCTAATCACAATCAGCTTTTTGATTCAGGTGTTTACCATTTGAAAAATATTACCAATTATTCCTTAGACCTCTGTCACACGGGCGGACCGGTTGGGTGTGTCTGTCAGTTTTTTAGGCGGACCCGATCAGACGCTCACATATGTCTGTTTACACCCACCAACTTCCAAACCTATCCACTAAGAACAGATGGAATAGGGATCCGTTTCACCATCCATCTGGCGGACTGGATGGCCATTGGGTGTAAATGAAGAGGGCGGTCCGTTTATATCTGACTGCCCCATAGACAACAGTGGGCTGTGTCTGCTCTGCACAGGCGGAGCAGACATGGACCTGTCATTCGTCTGCTGAGCTGGGATCAGTGGACAGATCCCCCGCTGAGCAGGTGGATCCACTTGGCGGAGTCCACCCGTGTAAAAGGGGCCTTAGACATTCACATATTATTGCTTTCAACAGGAGGTTGGGACTCTTGTAAAACAAGTAACATTTTTTTTTTTTTTCCTATGCAGTCACGCCTTTGTAACACCTATGGGTTTGAGTTGGAAGGACTCCCTTTTTGGAAGTCCAAGTGTGCTAGTTAGCATTACGGTGCATCCTTAAAGTGATATCAAAGGCATTAACCACTTGCCCTCCAGAGGATTTACACCTCCTTCCTGACCAGGCCATTTTTTGCATTATGGTGCTGCATTATTTTAACTGACCATTGCGTGGTCATGCAACGTTAAACCCAAATGAAATTTGCGTCCTTTTTGTCCCACAACTTGAGCTTTCTTTTGGTGGTATTGATCGCCTGTGTGTTTTTTTTTTTTTTTTTTTTTTTAAATCTTTTTGCGCTATAAAAAAAAATTTTGAGAAAAAAAAACTATTTTTGACTTTTTCCTATTAAACATGTCCAGCAAAAAAATTAAAAAAATCTAATTTCGTCATAAATTTACGCCAAAATATATTCTGTTACATGTCTTTGCTGAAAGAATCCCAATACGTGTAAATTAATTGATTTACGTGAAAGTTATAGTGTTTACAAATGGCAGTATATATACTGGGATTTTTTTTTTTCCATTTCTCCTAGTAATGGCAGCGATCAGCGACTTATAGTGGGATAGTGGCGGACATTCTGAAACTGGGAGAGGGGGGAGAACGGGCTTGGTGTCACTGACATCCCCAGGGACACCAATACAGTGATCACTACTAAAAAAAAAAAAAAAAAAAAAAGAAGGCTGAGAGGAGCATTCTTGAGAAAAGAGGATTTTTGGAAAGCTAGATTACCAGCCTTGTCCTTAGTCTTAAAGTGAATAACAGGAAACTATACAAGTTTGGAAGATAAAATAATTGGCATACATTCATATTCAAATCCTACAGTTCTGGATTTACTCTAGGAAGGAGTTAAAAAGGTGCAGGTGACGGCTTTTATGGGTTTTCTAGAAATAAGACTGACAAAGTTCTGGTCAACTTCTAGTCTTATATGGTGGTCCCATTTAGGGCTCCCTGCCTCATAAAGTACCATGGCCTCAAGGTTGATGGCCGCATCATGAACAAAGAGGGCAAGTGCTTCGTGGGAGGAAGTCTTTAAAACTGCGGTATGGTACTCAACCCATGCTTTTGGGAAATGCTACTGTTTCAAAATGTTGTTCAGCCAGGACCTGTCCTCCAGAAAGAGAAAGTTTTGCAAGTTAGTGCCTCCCCCACCATCCCCCAAAGTATGTTTACCTGTTTATTTCCTCAGGTAGCTGTCCTGGAAGATGATTTGGGAAAACCATGGTTGCACTTACTGGTAACATTACTTTCAGGAATCTTCCAGGACAGCATCCATATTCCCACCCAGATGTTTTTGGTTTAAAGTGATGGTGTTTAAAATTGTTGCATTTGTACCTAAAAATTCCCCTGGTATACATTGGTGGAGGTTCTTTACTTACCACAGTTGAGAATGAATGTTACTGTGCACTGTCTGTTAGACCATGGTTACTTGTTATAAAATCACCAGCCCTTCACTGCCACTCAGATATTTTCTCATAATTTTTACATGTCACAAAATGTTTCAAGCCATGTAATAATTATTGCCATGGTTGCCTACTAATTAGAACTTTGCCCAACTAGATTGTAAATAATTCTCTCAAGTATTGTTAATGTTGCCAAATACATATCATCCTGATATTTATATAGAAATCTAAAAGTTCAAAGCCTAGTGCACTTTTCTGAACATGTTTTATGTTACAGCCATATTTAGAGCGTAACATGAAAGATGGTGACATTGCACAACTCCTGACCCTCAAACCGCTCCCCATCCCCCTTACCTAAAATGCAGGGTTCTTCTCCCTGTTTTCTTTTTCTCTTCTGTTGTTGTCTCTTCTTCTGTTTTCATTTGAATTTGATGCTTCTGTGTGTGGATGTCTGCGCAGCCACATCATATATTCACAGATCCATTCACAAGGATTTGTGAATGGAAGACTACAGGTCCCATCTGCCACCGCGCCATCCAATAACTGAAGGTCCGTTTGGACCTATGAGTGGAGCAGTCGTCTGCAGGAACATGTGCATTGGTCCTGCTATTCAGTAACCGCAGATGCAATGCTCTACAGGCTCCAGTGCAAAAATTCAATAAATGCATTTACGTTAATAATATAAAAAATGTGCATTTATTAGATTTTTTACAAAAGGTGGAGCATGCGATACACAGCTTGAGGTGACATAATTCCTTTATAGTTATCTATAGCTGAGATTTGTGCACTGGTATGCCTATTAAAGTGTATGTATGTGAATGTTACGTCTGATATTATTGTAGCCTAAATGTGTCTAGTAAGGTATGTTGGTGCCCCAAACCGTAGCCTATTGTGTTTCAATGCCTTTGAACATGAATACCTAATCGTGCTAGTCCCCCTCCATTACTTTTCTATGCAAAGGAGATTGGTGCTAGCATCCTCAGTTTGCATCTAACTCTATCTCAATTTAGGTCCCAATTGATCCTAAGTGTGTTGTTTTAGGTATCGTTCCAAAGGAGGCATTACCTATGAGATATAATCTATTATGGACCAGCGCCCTGTATACTGCCCGTAAGCGTATTTTGCAGAGGTGGCTCTCGCCTACCCCTCCCCCAACACTTTCACAATGGAGGGATATAGTGAATTCCACTTTAAAGCGGGAAGAACTAACATATAACCACAGAGGCTGTCCCGGGAATGTTCATAAAATACGGAGGTTATCCTCTGCTGAATTAACCTTTATCCCCACTGAAGATTAACATGATAATAATACATTTATTCTCCTAGTAGACTCCAATTTGGAGTGTTGTCCTGCATAGGGTTATATAATCTTAAGAGAAATGCATGTTACTTCCTGATGTGGAAATCTGTCCTGTTAAAGTAAAATAACTGTCTTGATAAGCTAAGTATTAGTTGTAAGATGAAAATCTTGGTTGCTTTATTCTAGTATGATCCCGATGGAACAATGTTTCATGTAAGCCGTCAGTTTTCTTTACTCGCCATCATATGATGGTATTGTCTATGTCTACTTTTATTTTGTTTTTTTGTAAATGGGGAAAAAAAAAATTTTTTTTAAAATAAAAATTACCTTATTAAAAAAAAAATAAAAAAAAGATAGATACAGGTAAGCCGTGCCTATGCACAGCATGCCTGTATCTCTCCATAGTCAATTTTACAGAAAAGCTTCACCCCCCTGTCCATCTTCACCAGGGTAGTTGACAGCTTCTAGAGCAGAACATACACATACAGGGAAAGAAGTTTGTGCTGTCTATGACGTCAGTTGCAGCCTGGAGGGCAAGAGGGGCTTGCTCATGGACACACATATCAACTGGTTTACAAAAAGGCGTTTAACGTAAAAATACTTTATTAACGTTTTCTATATTCTGAGCCATCTCATATTCATGATGTAGTTAAAACTGAACTCCAAATACAAATTCTAAATATATACACACACACACCTCACAATTTCAAGTCCTGAGATAGTAGCCAGGGCTTAAGTTACTTGCCACCAATTGCCCCACCCAAACCCTACCCTGCTCCACCCCCCCATTCCGTCCCTAAACACTCCCTCATAAATTATCTCAAAGAATAGCACTGTTAAATGGTTTATGCAGAGTTAAAAGAAGATATGAAGGGGAGGAAGGAAGGGAGGAAGAAAGCAAGGAAAGTAGAGAGGGAAAGAGAGGAAGAAAGGGAGGGAGGGAAGCAAGGCAGGGGTGGAAGGAAGGTCGGACTCACATGGATGGTTCCCGCCTCACATGCTCAGTCAGGAGCATTACAGAGCTGCCGGCTAGTCTGTGTACAATTTTTGCCCACACATCCTTTTCTGCATGGCACGAACTGGAGTGTTGGCAGGCACAAGGGGAGGCAGAGCAGATCCAGCCTCTTTCCTCTCCTATTGGTGTGGAAGATGGGGGGAGGGGCTGGGCACTGAGGAGAAAGAAACTGAAGGATAAGGGATGGTCGCTGCAGTGGTGGGGGCAGCGACAAGCACCAATCTCCTATGGCTTTCAGTGAAGCAGCTAGAAGCCGCTTCTCCTCCTCTCCCTCGGCTTTTAGCTGCTTCATTGAAAGCCATACAGGTCAGTGCTTGTCACTGTCTCCACTGCTGCCTCTCTCACCCACCCCTAGTCCCGTCGCTGCTTGCCTCCATGTTATTTCCACTTCCCCCATGTGAGCGGGTGAGTGATATTTTTGAGGGCTGATATATATAAAAAAAAGTTTTTGTTTTTTCATTTTGTGTGTATTAAATGCTCTGTCATACCCCCTTTACATTGGTAAAATGTGTGTTGTGGTGCCATTCATTGTAGCGGACATGTGTTTATCCATTGAGTGCACTGGGTTTAAAAAAAACCAAAATAAATAAGTGCATGTATAATATTTAGTACATTGAGGTGCACTGATGCCTCTTTAAAATGATTTGACTGCCTTAACCACTTTAAGACTGTCCTATAGCAGTTTTATTGCTACAGGGCGGCCCTCCTGTGTATATACGTGATTTTACACTTCTGCCATAGTGGGTGCGCGTGTGCTGCCAGTGGCTCGCTTCTGCTGTGAACACTCTGCGAGTCCCGGAGAACAGATGTTGGCCAGCACCCGCTGATCGTCAGGCAGGAGAAAGAACAGAGCTCTGCCTATGTAAACAAGGTGGGGAAGTGAAGGATTGTGTGGCCCTGCAAAGCTGGGAACATGATCCTTCACTTCCCTCTAGTACAAGCAGCACCTAGTGTATACCAAGCACTTGGCTAGGCACACATTTAACTCTTTGATTGCCCTAGATGTTAACCCAACAAGTGTCATTAGTACAGTGATCAGTGCATATTTTTAGCAATGATCACTGTATTAGTGTCACTGGTTCCCACAAAGTATCAGTGTAAAAATGTTGATCTCAATATTGATCGCCACCATTACTAGTATAAAAAAAAATTAATTACTTTAAAAAATTCCAGTATATGTCCCATAGTTTGTAGACGCTATAACTGTTGCGCAAACTAATCAGTATACACTTATTGGGATTTTGTTTACCAAAAACATGTAGCAGAATACATTTTGGCCTAAATTTTATGAAGAAATCTTAATTTTTTTCATTGGATATGTTTTATAGTAGAAAATAAAAAATGGGGTTTTTTTTTGTCTTTTTTTTTTTTTTTTTTGTTTTGTTTTTTTTTTCAAAATTGTTGGTCTTCTTCCTTTTTATAACACAAAGTAAAAAGATCAAATACCACCAAAAGAAAGGTCTATTTGTGGGGAAAAAAGGGCATAAATTCCATTTATGTACAGCGTTGCATGATCGTGCGATTGTCAGTTGAAGTAACGTAGCTCCATATCGCAGAAAATGGTCTGGTCATGAAGGTGGGAAATCTTTCGGGGGTCAGGTGGTTAATGCAGTATACCTTGACATGCATCATTGCACAGGAGCATGTTCATAAAGCAGTGAATGTGACATATCAAACACATTCAGGTGGTTCAACATTCCCTGTAATTTAAAGAACATGCAGCTGGAGGATTCACCCACAGTTAATATTTGGTGACATATGGTCACATTACCTGCTTTACAAATATGCCCTGTGGTGAAAGGGGGCTTGGACTTTTCATAACTGTGTCCCTGTTTAGGAAATTTCACTTAAAGAATATCTATAGCCAAAACTTATCCATCCAAAACTGGAAAATAAATTGGTCCCAATTAGACAAATTTGACACCTGTGAGGTCCCTTGCTGGTGCTGGCATCTTCTTCCTAAGTTCTTCCAGGGGCCAATCTTTGGCCATTGCAATTGGCCGGCATGGGATGATGTCACTACTGTGCATGTGCAGGAGTGCAGCCATCCCAGCTCCCTAACCGTGTGCTAGAATGTAAACTGAGTTGTGCATTTACAGCTCTGTGTACATTCTACAGTAGACTGCAAACGGGCGGGTGTTTTCTATTGCAGAAGAGACTTTGTATGTCTCTTCTGCAATAAACACATTGCCTGTTTGCAATTAGTTTTTTTTTTTTTTTTAATAATTAACCTTTAGTTCCGCTGTTCCCCGCAGTACAGGCATAGTGGGCATTCATCCCTGAGCTGTCCCAGTGCCTTTTTAACCACTAGCCTACAGGGCACTTATACCCCCTTCCTGCCCAGGCCAATTTCCAGCTTTCAGCGCTGTCGCACTTTGAATGACAATTGCGCGGTTATGCAACACTGTACCCATATGACATTTTTAGCATTGTTTTGTGACAGAGCTTTATTTTGGTGGTATTTAATCACCTCTGGGTTTTTTATTTTTTCTTAAACCAAAAACCACTGAAAATTGTGAAAAAAAAATTCTTAGTTTTTGTTATAAAGTTTTGTAAATAAGTGATTTTTCTCCTTCACTGATGTGCGCTAATGAGGCTGCAGCGATGGGCACTGATAGGCTGCACTGATGGACACTGATAGGTGGCACTGATGGGCACTGAGGAGGCACTGGTAGGTGGCACTGATGGGCATTGACAGGCATCACTGATGGGCACTGAAAGGCAGCACTGATACATGGCACTGATCTATGGCACTGATAGGCAGCACTGTTAGGCGGCACTGACTGGCACTGTTAGGCGGCACTGACTGGCACTGTTAGGCGGCACTGACTGGCAGTACTGATAGGCGGCACTGATTGGCATTGATGGGTGGCACTGACTGGCACTGATGGGTGACACTGAAAGGCAGCTCAGATGGGCACTGATATGTGGCATTGATGTGCACGGATATGTGGCACTGATGTGGCACTGATGGGCACTGGCACGAGGCACTGACATAAGGCATTGATGGACACTGACAGGTGGCACTGCTGGGGCTACACTGATCATCAGGACACACTGATCATCAGTGCCCTGATGATCAGTGTACAACCTCTGCGGAAAACCAATTACTAGCTCTCATCTCGAGCTGTCAGCGTGACAGCTCGAGAGGAGGGAAATGCCAATAACCGGCATTTCCCTATTTACATGTGATCAGCTGTGATTGGACACAGCTGATCACATGACCGAGCCGACATCTTCGACTCTTTCCGCGATAGGTGATCCGCTGTGTCCGAGGGACACAGCGCACCGCCGATCGACGCGTTCTCCCTGAGCCGAACATGCGCAGTGAGAATGGGAGGACGTCATATGACGTCCTCCCAGAACAAGAGAACCACCTTGTGCCCGTCATATTACTATATGGCGGGCGGGAGGTAAAAACCTGGCCAATCTCAGTGGTTTCTGTTCTGTGGTCCCCGTCGGCTGGAATTGCTGGCTGTCTGTGAAAGCAGGGACCCAATGCTAAGCCCAGGGGCTGAAATGATCAGCTCCTGGGCTAACAATCTTGCTACACAGCGCTTCATAGCAGAGTGCATTTAAAACTGTGCTTCCACATTGTGTTTACATTCGAAGGCATTCCATGTCACAAGTGACATCACATCATTTCAAGGAGGCTGGGACAGAGCTTTTCTAGCTCCCAAAAATAACATTCCCTCCCCATGTTAATTCCCAATGATGTTGGATGACCTGATTGACATATTGCTGCGAAAACATCAAATTCCTATGGAAGTGAATGCAATGTTGTTCAAATTATATCACAGATCTGTGAAAGAATCCCCATCATGCTGATTTGTGGCCTTCTCTGCTAATGTTAAATGTTCTTAATGTTACGCTTACAATTGATGCAAGCCTTTTTTTCCCCTGCATGTGAAGCAATGTAGTGTTGAAAAGCTACATAAAAATGACTAATTTGATACATTTTTATTAATCATTGTGTTGATTTTTATCACTTTGTTGATGCATTGGGAAAAAGGAAGGTTAATGCAGTTTTTTAAAACGTATTTTGTACTATGTATTCCCATTAAAAGCAAGAAAATATAAAGATCTCTAAAAAAAACATTGTCAAAAATGAATAAGAAATGCTTTGTTTCAAGTGGGTTTAGGGCGAAAAATGGCCTGGGAACTCAAGTGGTTAAAGCTGAAGAACACTGCATCTTCACACCACAAACCAATATTTATTTTCAAAGCAGACGTACCCATCCCCACATATTTTCATGCTTTATTTTGCTTTGAAAAACACCCACTATCATTTCTGGCCGTGGCCATCTTGAGTAAGGGCAGATGATTAATGTAACATTTACTTCCTGGAATCCATCTGCCCTTAGCTCAGGCATAGATGCAGGCAGGAACTGTGAAAATTCCTCCTCCCATACTGAAGACTCCTGGGATGTGTGATATCATTTTTTTCCTAGGCCTAGAAATCGGGAAGTAACTGAAAAATGTAAAAACCATGAATATAATATACTTTTCTATCTATTTACTAATGGTAGCAGAATAAGGATTAAAAATAGTCAATGTTGATTGAGAGAGTGAAGTTCTGCTTTACCTTCTGTCTTTCTGCCAAATTAGAAGGTGACAAGAAATCTCCTTAATACAACATGGACAACATTTAATACCCGACTGAGATCCAGCCCTTTACAGCAGTATTATAAATGTAGGGTTTCATTGCCAGTTTTCTCTCTTCCTGTTCTATTAATATTTGTTTCTATAAGTGTAAGTTTTGTGTGACATAGTGTGATGATAACATATCAATGGCTTTTTAACATTGAAATGTCAATATTTTTGCATGCCAGTTTGATTACATAAAGACTTGATTCTGAAATGAAAATATTACTTGCATGAATGTTCATATATTCATGCTGTATATCTTTTTATTCAGCCCATCTGTGTTTCCCCCTTACCCCTAGATAGACCCTTTGCATATTTTGCACAGAGTAATATCAAATGTTGTCTGCCCACATGCCCTGTTAAATATTAATAATTCCTGCTGTTCTGAGAGCTCGTCACAACAACATACAATCCGTGTCCTTGGGATGAGAAATCCCAGTGGGAGGACACAGCAGAGTATCCACCTCCACCAGTCATGTCCCAAGTGTCAAGCACAAGCCTGGCCGGGGCAGCTGTCACACAAATGGCACAAGTCCTGATTGTTACGGAGGCTGATATTCTTTACTGCTTAGATAGTTTCTGATTTTTTTTTCTTTTTCTTTCTGATTCTAATAACAGATATTCAACAATATTGGTAAAATTGTCAAAGCTCTCTCTGGTTGTTTAATCGTTTCCATACCGGGCACTTTTACCCCCTTCCTGCCCAGGCCAATTTTTAGGTTTCAGCGCTCTCACACTTTGAATGACAATTGTGCGGTCATACAACATTGCACCCAAACTAAAATTTTATAATCTTCTTCACACAACTAGAGCTTTCTTTTGGTGGTATTTAATCACCACTGGGGTTTTTATTTCTTGCTAAATTAACAAAAAGAGACAGAAAATGTTGGAAAAAAAAAAAACCTGTTTCTGTTATAAAAGTTTGCAAATAAATAATTGTTCTTCATAAATTTAGGCCGAGATGTATTCTGCTACATGTCTTTGGTGAAAATAACCCAAATTAGGATGTATTTTTTAGTTTGTAGGAAAGTTATAGAGTTCACAAACTATGGGATATATCTGAATATTGATCAATCCTGAAGTACAGACAGCCAATCTAATTTCTTGAGGTCCAAGAATGTCAGAATAGTACAGATATCCCCCAAATGACCCCTTTTTGCAGAGTAGACAGTCCCACGTACTTCATAAGAGGCATGGTGTTTTTTTTAAGTATTTTTTTTTGTCATAATTTTTCGGAAAATGAAAAAATTTAAAAAAGTATTTTCACTAATTTTCTTTTACATACTGTCACCAGTGCAGTACAGCATCATCATCATATAACTAGTATGGCGGTGATCAGGGACACTGACTGGTGACAGTATGAAAAAAAAATATATAATTTCTTTTACATTTTTTATTTTTAATTTTTTTATTACATTTTTTTTCTTAAGATTTTCTTTTCATATTTCACTATGACCAAAGTAGTACAATGTTACCATAGTAACATTGTACTACTTTGGGGAAGTGATCAGTATTTTTTTTTTTTATACACAATTTGCTTATAGCAAAGAATTACTTTGCTATAAGCAAGCATTTACCTGAATGACATCGATTCATTCAGGGTTTTTTTTTTTTTTTTTTTTTTTTTTTTTTTTTTTTTTTGTGCTTAGCTGTGATTTGGCCAGGGCTAATCACATGACACAGCTGGGCTGTGATTGGCCCAGCTTGTGCATGTGATTGCTGTGACCATTCACACTAGTATACAATGGATGGCATGAATGAAGCCATCCATTGTATACAACTGTCATGTGACCTGCTGTGATTGGTCACAACAGGTCACATGGTGACGGCAACGGGGCAGGTACTCAGATCTGTCATCAGCCGTGTCCAAGGTACACGGCCGGTGACAGATCGCGCTGCTGCGCAGCTCTGCAGGTGCGCAAACTGCGCATGCCCGAAAGGACGCCATATGGCGTCCACCCAGAAAGGTAGGGGCTTTTGCCGGCCGCCATTCGGCCGTAGGCCGGGCGGGTAGAGGTTAAGGAAATGTATACATTTACCTCCCTTCCTTTACTCTTGTTATCCTTCTCGGACCTTCAAGACTGTTCCTCTATTTTTGTCTTGAATACTTATTTATTATAAAATATGATTTACTCTTTAGTTATGAGTACTTGCTCTAGACCAGCAATGGGCAAACTACGGCCCGCGGGCCGTATACGGCCCGGCGGACCTTTTAATCCGGCCCGCGGAGCGTGATACATTGGCTGTCAGGATGTGTGTAGGCGGGGCAGCGTGACGAACATGAGGGGAGCTAGGCTCCTCTCACAGTCCGCCCTGAAGACCGGAACGGCGCGGGAACACGGCGAGAGGAACGCGCGGAGCAAAGGTAAGTAAATTAACACAGGGGGGACTTGGCTTACTACTTGGGGGGGAATAGTACTATGGGGGATGAAATACTATATGGGGGGATGAATTTATATGGGGGATGAATTACTATATGGGGGATGAATTACTATATGGGGGATGAATTACTATGGGGGATGAATTACTATATGGGGGATGAATTACTATATGGGGGATGAATTACTATGGGGGATGAATTACTATATGGGGGATTAATTACTATATGGGGGATTAATTACTATGCTTACTATGGGGGAATATTACTATACTTACTATGGATGACACATACACATCATTCATCTACTCTTGGTCCGGCCCCCGGGTCCAATATATGAACCCATTGCGGCCCTCAAGTCAAAAAGTTTGCCCACCCCTGCTCTAGACAGTTTTTAATGGCTGGCTGACACTAGGAATCCTACAGGAACGTGCAGTGCACTCCTGTGTGTCTCACATGCAGTTTGTTGCGATTTGAGCACATTCACTTTGAATGGGCTCAATCACACTGCAGCGCACCAAAAGTAGTGCATGAACAACCTTTGGAAGCTCATTGCAATCAGATTTCATGGTACTTCTGCAGGCAAATGCATTACATTTGCGACCTGCATTTGGGGTATCATTAAATTGGCACTGACACCTGCTGCAGATCTCAACTCTAGTGCATATTGAATACTGTGTGGGGAAACGTGCATGGAACGTGGGTTTCCCACACCCGCTTTCTGGTGTGATTAGGGCCTAAAAGTTTGAAAGGAAAAAATTCCAAATATTTTTTGGTTGTTTAATATACTTCAGTTTGCTAAAATAGGACAACCTTGATATATTTGGGAAATGAAAGACCTTGTCCTCTCCTCCCTAAGCAGACACGACATGTACCATAATATATGGTTGTATTAGATTGATTTGATGCGGTAAAGTCCTTCTCCAAGGAGTTTCCATATCCCATATACTGTTTCCCCGAGCTCATCTGTGAGAGTGCTATCCCTTCTCCCTCCTTCACCTGTATGTCCAGCCATTTTCCCCCATGCTTTCCTCTGTCCACTATTGCCCCTTCTCCCCACTCTAAACCAACCCCCCCCCCTTTTTTCATGACACTATTACAGCAAAGGGATTAGAGTTACAAAGCTAAAATTAAGTGTCAGTGCACATTAGCAAAATATTAGCAAAGCTCTAGAAGTGACCTTCAAGGGATGTTATTAATACTTGAAAAACACAACTTCAGTAAGCCTTGGCAGGA